AGATGTGGCCTCACCAGGGCAGAGTAGAGGGGGAGGATGACCTCCCTCCACCTGCTGGCCACACTCTTCCTGATGCACCCCAGGATGCCATTGGCCTTCTTGGCCACCAGGGCACATTGCTGGCTCATGGTCATCCTGTTGTCCACGGGGTGAGGAGCAGCGCTCCCCCAACAGGGCCCTGCACTCCCAGCACTCCCCACCCCAGCTCACCGCAGGAGGCAGACTCGTCAGAGCGGTCCCCACAGTCATCGTCCAGGTCACAGGTCCAGGAGATGGGGATGCAGCGCCCACTGGCACAGGAGAACTGGTTGGGGGAGCAGGTCCGAGCTGGCCCAGGAAGAGACAGACAGAGCTTTAGTAGCTGGTGGTGCCTTGCTGTGCCAGTGAAATGGTGGGGAACAACCCCCCGCCGGGGCTCCTGCGAGGCACAGGCGCAGAAGCCAAACTGTTTGCAAGGTGGGCAGCAGGGATGAGTCAGGACCCGAAAGCCGGCTTCAGCCCTGCAGCACGCAGGGAGCAGTGAAGGCTGCAGCTCATTACAGCAGTGTGCGCTCTCCCTCTGTTCCCCAAGGACGAGGCAGGCTCCTCACCCGAGCAGGTGGAGTTGGACTCATCCTCGTTGTTCCCACAGTCGTTGTCCCCATCGCAGAGCCAGCGGTTGGGGATGCAGCGGTTGTTCTTGCACTTGAAACGGTCGGAGGGGCAGGTGTGCTGGTCTGCGGGGGAAACACACGCTCAGCCCCTGCCCATCTCCATCCCACCCTCATTCCTCCTCCATGGCTGGTGGGCAGAAAAACTGAGACAGAAAAGGGGAGGGAGCCTCAGACAAACTGGGGATCCAGGATCCTCATCACCATTTCCCCCATCAGCCACTCGAGCCCACTCCCCTCCTAGAGCTGGGGAGGGGACACAGGGGTCCTGGCTGCCTGACCCCATCCCAGCCACTGGCCCCACAACTGCGGGAAGCTTAGCCTGAACCCTGCCACCCCAGGAGCATGTAAACCTCTACCCCACCGCACAGGAGGCGACTACACACGGCAGAGCTCAGGGGCTTCGTCACTGTTGTCCAGGCAGTCGTTGTCCCCATCGCATTTCCAGCGCTCCTGGATGCAGCGGTTGTTCTTGCAAGCGAACTCCCCAGGCTGGCACTGCGGAGGGGGGATGTAGGACGGGTTGGCTGGCAAGGGAAAAGCAAAGGAAGGGGATGATTTTAACCAAGTGACCAAGTGCAGGGCAGCAGCGAGGACAGTCCCATGTCCCCAGGGTGGAAAAAAAAAACACGACTGCCCAGCAGCCCTGCGAGCGTACACAGACACTCGTGCCCACGTGCACCAGCTCCTGAGCACAAAACGCGAAGGCGCACCCCATGATCGAGGGGGAGAGACCCTTGCCCAGCCTGCGCGTGCCAGCAGAGCTTCACCCCTCTCATTTAAGCCAGCAAAGCACAGTATTGCTCAGGCTCCCCACACTGCACCTGCCTCTCCCCTATGCTGGCAGCAGAGTGATCGCGCCCCGGCTGTGCAGGCAGCATCAGACACGGCTGCACAGCCTCAGCGCAGCGATCCCCACCAGGGATTTCCACCCGCTTCCCTGGGCAGGAGGCTGTCCTGCTGCCATCGTGCAAGAGGAGGAACCAGAGGCGGCAACGTGACTCATCTGCGGCTCCCACAGGTGCAGGGAGCACCCACCTCCCCGAGCCCCGGGACAGCCTCCCACCGCGAGAGGCATCACTGCTGATGTGCCAGAGTGGACCTGCAGACCCTGCGTCCCCCCCAGCCCCTGGGGGAAAGGGGGTCCCCACTGCGGGCCGGGCCCCAAGGCAGCCTACCCTGGCAGGTGACAGAGTCCGATCCCAGGATCTGGTCCTCGGCACAGGCACACTGACGGCCCCGGGGGGTGGCCAGGCACAGGCTGCTGCAGCCACCGTTGTTTACGCGGCACTTGTTGGAGCCCACTGCGGAGGCAAGGCAGGGGTGAGGAGAAGGGGACTCCAGTGCTCAGGGAACCCTGCTGACCCACGGGGGGCTGCTGGGTACCCCCAGCCCCCTGGACTCCCTCAACAGGGTCCACAGTGGGAACCCGGCTGGAGACCCCAGTTCACCAGGCCATGCAAAGCACTGGTGATCCCTCAGCAGCTGGAGACTCGTTTATCACACCACGCAAGGCAGTGGGGACCCCTCAGGGGACATAAAGCCTGGCTGGACTAGCCAGGAAGCCTTTCAGGCAGGGAGGGACAGGGAGAAAGAGAGGAAAGGCTGGAAGGGCAGGGGATGAGGGACAGCAGGGTTTACAGAGAGAGAGACAGGGTGCATGGGGATGGACAGACAGGCAGAGATACGGCCAAGAGGAAGGCAGGGCAATTCCTCAGACCCTGGTCCCCAGTTCCATCCCTCTTCCAGCTCCCCCAGTCCCTCGTGCATGACGGCTCCGCGTGGTGCCAAGCAGGGGTGGTCCCAGCACCTTGCTGCTGCTGTGCATCGTACATCCGGATCTCGAAGATGGGTGGGCGCTCGTTCCGGAGCAGGCTCACCACCTTGGAGGCCTGGTCCAGCCGGTAGATGCTGCCGCTGCGGTACTCGGTCCAGAAGAGGAAGCTGCTGTAGTGGCACAGCCCGAAGGCGTGATTCAGCTCAGGTCCCTCGTACACAATCTGCGGGCGCAGGGAGGCGGAGAGGCTCTTCGTTAGCTGGGAAGGGTGCTCAGGCAAACCCCACGTGGCAGGACAGGGCAAGGGACATTGGAAGGGGAGAGGAGAGGACAGGCGGCAGGGGAGCGTGGCTGAATGTGGCCACCGAGCAGACCCGCAGTGGATGCGGCCAGCTGAGGCAATGGCTCAGCTATCCACGGCCCCAACTCTGGGGCGATCAACGTCCGAGAGCCTGTGGGGCCTCCACTTGCCTTCCGCTCAGTGCCATTGAGGTAGACCATCTCAATGCGGTCATAGAAAGCATCCACCCAGTAGAGGATCTTGGCCGGGATGTCCAGGCTCAGCCCGTTGGGCCACAGGACGGTCTTGGAGGTGATGAAGATGTTGCGGTTGGAACCGTCCATCCAGGCTCTCTCAATCTTGCCCCTCTTGCTGTCCTTGGGATCCTCCTCCCAGTCCGTCCAGTACATCCACCTGCCACAGACATCGAGCTGTTAGAGACGCAGACAAGTTGGGCTTGGAGCCCACCCCACTACTGATCCAAAGAGCGACCAGCTTTGCCTCCACCAAACCAGGTGTGAACTCTATGGCTGCTCGCAGTGCGGCTGACGCAAACCAGCGGGAAGGTCCCGCTGCCCCATGCCTACAGCCAGGCCCCAGCCCAACGTGATGGCCCTCCTGCCCACGCCAATGCCACCGAGCCCAGGCTGAAGCTGCTGTGCAGCACAGAGCCGCTGCCATCACCGTGGCCGGAGCTGCTGCCTGGCCCCAGCGTCACAGCTTGGGAGCCACCACGAATGCCGTGCAGAGCTGGGGACCCAACCACCAGCTGTGCTGGTCCCTGCTGCAGGCAGGAGCGGCTGTGCCCTCCCGCGAGGCAGCGCTGCCTGCCCAGGAACCCGCACCCGTTCAGGGGGTCCACCACGATCGCTCGGGGGTGGGTCATCTTCCCCTCGATCAGTGTCTTCCGTGTCTGGGCAGCCTTCTCCAGCCGAGCCACGCTGATGGTCTTTTTGGGGCCATCATCCGTCCAGTACAGGTTGTTCCCCATCCAGTCCACCGCGATCCCTTCCACGTTGTGGATGCCTTTGGGGAAAAGCAGGAGCGGGTGCTCATCACCAGGGCTGCGCGGCAGCGGGCAGAGGAGAAGTGGATGCGACAGCCCCATATGATTCACAGTGCATTCGGCACCACCTGATCCCAACTCAAACCGACAGGGATGACAGACCCCCCCAGCCCCAGCGCAGGCACATCCCCCAGAGGTACCACAGCCACAGCAAGCCTGGGCTGGAGAAAACCAAATTCAGGAGCGTCCTTGGCTGGTTCGCCCTGAGGCAACACAAACATAGTCGGCTGGAAGCGTGAGGATGGATCAGCCACCGCACAGAGCCTCAGGGACCCTGGCAGAGGATCCCCCGTCCCTCCCTCCTTCTCCCACCTGCCTGGATCGGGGTGGGCCAGCTCAGGCTGGAGGGGGACATCCAAGGACACAGGTCCCTCTGCTGGGACACGTGCTCTGTACCTGCCTCTCAACAGCAGTCCACAGATAAACCCAAACAGCAGCTTCAAGCCTTAGTTTTAAGGGTCAAAGACGCAAGGGAGAGGACAGAACCGCGGCCATTACATGAGGAAATGCACTGATGGCTGTTGCCACCAGTTCCCAGGGGCTGACCACGCTGGGGAGGGACCGGGCTGTGCCCCTCGTCCACGCACCGTCCTTCAGGATGGTCTCTCGCTCCGTGCCATCGATCTTCTGGCGCCCGATGAGGTAGCTGGTGGTGTCAGCGAAGTAGATGAAGCCGGTCTCAGCATGGAAGTCCAGTGCTCGGGGGTTCATCAGGTTCTCGATGGGGATCATGTGCTCGTCTGGCACCTTGGCCCCCATGTCCATCCCGCGGATGATGCCCGGACGCCCCTTCCCATACACCAGGAACAGCTCATGCTCGGGCTCTGCAGAGAGATGGGGAGAGCCATCGCCACCAGCTGGGCCAGGGCAGCGCTGGGGGTGGGCAGCCCGATGGACGTGGCACCAGGGCTTCTGCAGGGTCACAGCCAGGACAGAGAGGCCAGGAGGAAGCAGCCTGCCCCTGCACCCAGCAGGTCTGCAGGGACCGCAGAGCCCAGTGGGGTGCCGCAGCGTGGGCCGGGAAGGAGAGGGGTGTTTGCACCCGGCCCTGCTCGCCCCTGGGCCCGTGTGCTCGCAGTCGTCCAGCACAAGCGCCTCTGCCCACCCCGGACCCTTGTGGAGAGGGGCCCCCTCGTCCCCCTCGTCCCGTCCCACAGCTCTCCGGGGAGGGCCAGGACTCACTTTTGCAGGACTTCCCGTCGCTGCCCAGGCTGAACCCAGAGCGGCACCGGCAGGTTCGGGTCTTGTGGCTGTTCCCGAGGAGGCAGATGTCCGAGCAGCCCCCCGGCTTGCCGAACTGATCCGGCTCACAGGCATGGCTCCTCACTGCAACAGAGAGCACGGGCTGCAGCAGCCACAGGCCACCAGAGCAGCGCAGAGGTAGCCTGCCTGGCTGCAGGTCTCCGCCGGCCAGGAAGCACGGGCAGGCAGGGGACACTAGTCTGCAACCACAGGAATGCGGAGACGGTCGCATGGGTGCTTTAGGGGGACCCCATCCTCCCGGAGCTCCTGCCTGGCCAGGCACTGAGCACGGCACAGGACAGACATGGGAAGGACCTGCCCAAGAGGCAGGATCACTGTGGAGCAGAAACCAGCATGGCATGTCCCGGCACACAGCCACCACCGCTGGGCCACGCTGCCTCCGTCCGTCCATCCAGACCATCCTTCATGGGCCATGGCGGGAGCGGGGCTGTCCAGCTGCTCTGTAGACAGCGCTGGCAGGATGAGCCCCAGCACAGGGACAGCTAGCACCGGCCCAGAGAGCCCCCATAATCGCACTCCTTCACCGCTTGGAAATCTCCTGATTAGTTTTATATTCTAGAAAATGCCAAGCAGGCTGCAGACGCTAAGAGGATTTTAAACAAGTAAATTAAATCACTGCAGGAAGGTTCTGGTGGCGGAGCAGGCAGACGGGGACGGACACGGGTTGGGGATGGTCCCTGCAGCCCCAAAGCCTTTCAACTCCCTTAAACTCCCTCAGTGCCCGGGAGCATATGGCCCCGGTCGAAGGGCAAACACACCGGCAGTGGGGACTGAGAGTGTGTGGGCACCGCAGAAGAGAGCCATTAATATTTCAAGATGCCACATCTGCTCCAGTGTCCCTGCGCCCTCCAGCGAGACGTGATCTATCAGCCACGCGGCGCAGCTGCCCGGCCCGCGGGGACGGCTGCCACGTCTCTCGCAGGAGGAGACGGAGCGATAGTGGGGCTGGGGGCACCCCAGGGTGTGCGGCAGCCAAGCGAGAGGCCGGTCCCGCGGCTGCCGGGGGAGCAGGAATCCCATGCAAGCCCCTGGCCGAGGAGTGCTGGCAGCGGGACGGCAACTCTGGGAGTCCCTGTGGAGCGCAGCCAGGCAGCTGGCTCCTCTGTCCCGGTCCCTGCATTTTGGCCTGCCTGGCACTTGGCACCCCCAGCCAGGCTCCAACAGTGACCCCCGGTCTGCTGTCGCCACCGACGGCGAGCTCCGCTGTCGGAGCTCACCCAGGCACACGCAGATTGTGGGGAAGGGGAGCTGGGGGAGACTGGGCAGGGCCAGGCCTGGGCTGAGCACGGCTCCTTGGGGCCACAGGGTGCCACCAACAGAGGCTCCTGGGCAAGTGAACCCATCCCGAGGGTCTGGCCCCATTAAGAGACGGAATTCAGAAGGTGCAGCCTGTCCCCATCGCCACTCAGCCTTCAGGGTCCAAGAAGCTGCTTTTCCCAGGTGGGGATCCCACCTGTGGGCTGGCGCCGCTGGTGGTAGATGTGGAGTGCTCCTCCCTTGTCCACCCGCGTCACCACCTGGTACTCGGTGCTGTTGAAGCGGTTGACCCGGATGACACTCGTTTTCTGCTGAGCATTGGCATTGTCAGAGTTGGTGGCGTAGAGGTAGTTCTCGAAGACGGTTAGCCCGTAGAGGTGTTCAATCTGGGAGGCACCGCGCAGGTGTCCAGGAGGAATTTAGGAGGAGACATTAGAACCCTGGCTCCGAGGTATGCAAAGCCCTCAACCCCTGTCCCTCATCCTGCCCCACGGCTCTTGCTCCACGAGATTGGGCTTGGCAGGCAGATGCTGCAGGACCGGTTGGCGTTCAGCAGCTCACACCTTTTCTTTGCTGGACCAGCAAAGCCAAGCCTGTGCACCAGTGCTCCCCAGCAGTCCAAGCTCAGACCTGCCTCTAGTGCACTCTGCCATAAGGCCCCCCCGACCCCGACCTCCTTCTGGCCCCACTCACCAGGATGCCCTGGATGATGGTGTGTCTGTTTTTGCCTTCGTAGTCCACCACCTCAATATAGTCCAAGTAGGCGTCAGCCCAGTACACCAGCCGGTTCACCAAGTCCAAGGTGATGCCATGGGGGAAGACGATCTTGCTGTCCACCAGCTTGGTGCGGTTCTGCCCGTCCATGTCACAGCGCTCCACCTTAGGGATCTGCCCGTAGTCAGTGAAGAACACTTTGCTGCGTGAGAAGGGCAAAGGCAGGAGCTCAGAGCCTGCATGTCACGTTCGACCCGGAGAGAGGGAGGACGCAGATGTACAGACGGCGCACGCTTCTGCCCGCAGACATGGGCTTGACCCCGTGGGCCCGGGGTGGCTGGGATCCACCACAGCCGGGGCTGGCCCAGGGTTGCTCCTTGCTGCCTGCATGGCCCAGCAGTGCCAAGGGCTGGCAGCACCCACCTGCGCCTCAGAGGGGCTGCAGCAACCCGGGCAGTGATGCTGAGACAGGCGGGCAAAAGCTCGAACTGGGATTTGCTGGTGTCACCAGGAAGAGGTCCAGGGCCCTCCACCAGATGATGTGTTAAAACACAACCTGATGCGTCTGCCCGGGTGCCGCGCACCTGAGAGCCGTCTTGCATGGGGCTGCAGCTCCTAGCACAGCGCCTCCCAGACAGGGCACAGCACCACTGCCCTGAGCACCGGGGCTGTGCTGGGTCTCTGCTGCAGAGCCCAGTAACTTTAACTCAGCCACCCGTGGGGCTTGTCTGCACCTTCCCTCTTCCAGGCCAGAGTGTCTCTCCAGGCTGCTATACAATATTTATTTATTTATACAAAACCCCTTCAGCTTTTCTGCTCAATAACATGAGCTCTCTTCATTCAGGCAAGGATAAAAGCACCCATCTGGAAAGAGGCAGGTGAGAGGGGAGACATCCTCTTTACTGGTTTTACTGGGACCCTGCAGCACACACAGCTGAGCACCCTCGGATGGCGCGCGCCATCGGGTTAGGCAGACCATGCTCGCGCGCCGACAGACTTCCCTGCCGGGCAGCGGGATTTCCCCCACATGCATGCCCTGTGGCCGGACCACGCTCGTGGAAAGCGCCCAGTGGGATCTCACACACCGCTCTGCTCTGCCTGCCGCAGCCTCGGCCACACCAGCTCCCCGCTCCCAGGGTCCTGCAGCTGCCGTGCATGCCCTGAGCTGCTCCGATGATTCAGCATCCCAGCTTCCCCATGCATGGGATTTTGCAAAAGGCAGCTGCCCGAGCATTGCCATCTGACCGCAGCACCCTGTACAAATAGGCACAGGGGGAGCTGCTCCATCCGTGTGTCTGACTGTTTCGGTTCCCAAAAGCTGGTGCAAAGCTGTAACCGCACAGCCACAAGCTGGAAGCGGCAGCTTGTCCTGAGCCCAAGCAAAAGCTCATCCTGAGCAAAGCCGCTGCTGAGGGCAGGCGGAGCGGGAAGCAACCCTCCAGAGAGGGGCTTCTGGACATGGCCACGCAGGTACCACCAGCCCCAGTGGGAAGGACCACGCGCTTGCCAGCTGTCACCAAGAACAGTTAATTAGAAGATCCAGGATCAGATGCTGACATTCCCCAGTGCTGTACCGGTCTGGCTCTGCTCCCACACCAGTGCCTGTCCCTGGTGCAGCGCCGGCCGAGCAGAGGACCAAACCTTCACCTCTTCCAACACTGGCTGGTACCAGTGGGCTGCTCAAAATGCTGCTGCACAACTACCCTACAGCACGTGGCCCCGACCCCAGCGGAGGGAGAGAAAACACTGCGATTCACTCGGTGCTAAAGCCCAGAGGGGCTCTCACAGGCGAGAGAGTCACTCTTCCAGCAGCATCCCTGCCACCCCACCTCACTGCAGCAGCTGGACCCTCCTGGCTGGTTCCACCTCCCCAAATCCACGGTGCAGGTCCAGGCAGCAACACTGAGCCGTCCCGCCCCCAAGCAGGGCTCTTACCCCATAGCTGGGTCCAGCGCTATCCCCTTGGGGTTGTACAGCTCGAGGTCCAGCAGTGTGACGCAGGTGACTCCGTTCTTGTTGCAGACAAAGATCCTGTCATCAATGTCATCCACGAAGTAGAAGTTGCCTGTGAGCCAGTCAATGGCCATCTGCTCGACATCTAGGCCGTGGGAGAGGGGAGAGGAGAGGTTAGGCAGGGAGGGAGGGAGGGAGGAGGGAGCCAGGAGCCCCACGCGTGCCTGTGCACGGGGTCTCTGACCACCTCCGAGCCCCTCCAAGGCATTTCCAGCACAAACATAGCTGAGTCGTGAGGCCACGTGAGCCACGGAGGAGCTGTCATCTGCACTGCACCAGGGACCTGGCTCTGGGCACCCTGCATGGATTGGCGCCGCCACCCGTCCTCTCCTCCCGAGGGACATGGGACCTGCCACCCCCCAGGCAGCCCAGCTGCAAGCGGCAGCGCTTTTGGAGACATCACGCGCAGGCCGGAGAGCATCCTGCGGGAACACCGGCCTGAGCCGGGGGAAGGCTGTGCGCGGCGGGCACCGCAGGAGGCGAAGGCAGCTCCTGGAGAGCTGCGGGGCACAGAGGGGGAAGAGGCTCAGACCGCAGCATCGCACAGCAAACACCCACCGGGTGGTCAGGGCAGCACAGGGAGGGACTGCCACGGCCGGGGGCTGCAGGCAGAGCCCCGCCGGGGACAGGCAGCCCGGGCAGAGCTAATCCGGAGCCGCAAGGACGCCCCGAGCCCTGAAGCAGGTGAGAGACAGCATCTGGCACGCAGCGTTTAAGTATTTAATTAAACCAGTGAAAGCCTGTTAAATCGGATAAGCCTAATGCACCTGAATTCCTGCCTCGCAACCAGGTCAGTGCCCGGCACTGCTCTGTGCCCGCCACCCGCCCCCGGCCACAGCATGGGGTGAGGGGCTGCAGCTCCCGGAGGTTCTGGGAGATGCCGAGTGTTCTGGAGGCCCATCCTCTCGGTTAGTGCCCCAAGACCCCATGCCACCCCCACGCTGACACAGCAGCGCCGCAGGGCCATCGCCGCAGCTCGGCATCACGGCCGGCACGGGAGCAGCAGCAGCCCCACAGCCCGACCACCCCGAGGACATCGGGACCCAGACAGCCCCGGAGGAGCGGGGCCAGACGCTGCTGAATTATTAACCAGCGCAGAAGGAGGGAAAACATGAATCAAGCCAGGACATTTTGCAACGCCCCACGCTCCCCCTGCTCGCAGGATTCGGCCTGATGGTATCAAGCCCTTCTCTGCTGCAGCACCACAAAGCGCTGTCTGGATTTTGGTGAGACCCAACTGAGGAGAACCCAGGGGTCTGGGGGTGCCCCGTCCGAGCACAAACCCAAGCCCCACGTCCCCGACTTATCCCGGCCAGCTCGCTCGCATGCCTCCACTTGAGCATTTCGTGTCAAGGCCGCGGCCCCGGGGACGAGGACGTCCTGCTGGCGGTGATGGCCGCCTGGTGACCAACCGCCCTCCCCTCCGGAAGGGCGAAGTTGTGGCGCCCGCAGCCACCACCCAGCGTGATGCATCTCGTAAAAACAAGTGGAAACAGCCAGCACCAGGGAATTAGCATCAAACCAGCCAAACGAAGGCCTGTGCAGGGCTCCTGCTGTGCTGCCCAATGTGCCGGAGCTGGCGGCAGGGCAGGGGTGAAGTCAGGGGTCCTGGTCCAGCCAGGGCCCCTGGGGCTCCTGGGTGCCCACCGGCGATAAGAGGTTTTGATGCTGAGCAAAAAAGACCTAAAAAAGTGCAGGGAGGTGGTGGGGGCGGGCGAGGGTCCCGCTCTGCCTCCGAGATGGCGCTGCCTGAGTCACGCTGCCTGGACGGGCGCCCGCCCGCCGTCCCCCCCTGCACCCCCAGCCCTGATTCACCCCGCTGACGAGCGGAGGGGGCGGCAGAGCCGCGCACACGGCGCAGCCCTGCCTGGGCGAGAAACGCTTCAGCGAAGGGATGTGCAAGAATTCCCCAAAAAAGCAGGTCTTGGCTGGCGCCTGCGCGGCTGAGTCAGAGTCACAGGACCAGGGGAGTGATCCAAGCAGGGGCGGATGGGGAGCGCCCGGCGGGACGGTGCAGAGGCCCGAGCCCCCCACAGAGGGGCACAGACCCCCCTGGCCACAGGCTCTGGCTTTCCCTCGCTGCCTTCCTCCTGGGGGGGACCCTGCCATGGCCACCCAGTCACCAGCGCTCTCCCGCACCTCGCTCCTCCTTTCCCATCGCTCGCACCCAAAGCCCCCAGCATCACCGGGGCCACTGCCACCTCACCGGCCGCGTCCCGCTGAGCCGGAGCTGCGTCCAGCCCGTCCAACGGGGAGGAAGTTCACAAACACAGCACTCAAAGGCTAAACGGGAATCAGAAGGGAAAACAGCCAAAACAAGCTGAAGGTTTCCAGCCCCTCGCTTCCTGGGGCCCGCAGCTTCCCCCACGCCGTTTCTGCAATGGTTGCCTCTCCCCGTTCCAGGCGAGGGTCCCGGGGGTCTCCCGGGGGTCTCCCGGCCGGGCCCCAGCCCTGAGCAGGGCAGCGCTGGGCCGGGGAGGTGGGGGTGATGCAAGCACTTGCTCTTCTCCCAGGCTGTATTTTTGCAGCTGGAAAGCATTACCCTCCTCAAAGGCTTTTGTTTTTCAGCTTGCTCCTTCTCTCCCTGCTTGCCATCCTCCCCCCTCCTTCGCAGGAATCAGTTTTTATTATTATTATTATTTTCAGCTCTTTCTTTTAGCCTCAGCTAAACCTGGATTTCCTCTTGAACTTTCAGTGGAAGCTAATTTAGTGAATGTCTATTTTTAACCCCTCGCATTAGCCCACAGAGAGCTCTCCCCCCACTCGGCACTCGCCTTTGGGAGCAGGGAGGAGTGAGGGACGTGGTCTGTCCCCCCCAGGCACTGCGCGTCGCCCCGGCAGGACAGCGGGTGCCCGGGGAAGGTGCACCATGGCCACCCATGACCAGCAAGATGCGTGCAAGGACCCGGCTCAGCGGACCAGCCTGTCCCTCCTGCGAACAACTTCCATGGAAGGAAGAAGCCGGGGGGCAGCGATCACCCCTCTCCTCCTGCCCGCAGCTCCCAGCAGCAGAGGGGTCTGGCTGGCGAGTCTGTCCTCCCCACCAATTCCCATCCCAGAGTCAAGTCTTCCTCCTTGCCCAACCATGGCTGGGCGTTGCAAGCTATTGCAACATGCAAAACTAATTTCCCAAGATTTATTTATTTGCTAGTGTTTGAAAACGAGCTTGTGGGGGCAGAGAACAGTGAACGTCAACTTTAAAGGCCCTTTCTGGAAGAAGCTAACCAGCCTCATCAGGCCGGCAAGCCACGGTCCACACCAGCCAGCCACGCTCAGTGGCGCTGGCCAGGAACGCCGGTGGTTGAAGTGGGCTCCGACCATCGCCTTCCCTGGGGAGAGGGCAGACGAAGGGAGCACAGAGGGGAGAGGGAGCACCAAGAAGTTCATCAGTACACAAGTGGCACATTGCTCAACACGGGCGGGCTGGCAACTTCAGCAAACTCCGAAACCCACCCCACACAGATGTTTCCTGGTTTCACGCTCAACATGAACCGAGGGATCCTGACCAAGCTTTTGATGAAGTCCCTGCCACAAAATAATCTATGTGCTTGGACTTTCCCCTTTCCTTGCCACCAGTGGAAGACGCTGAAGCAGCCTCTGGGGCCAACAGGCCCTGAGGAGCCACTGCTGGGGACAGCCGGCCAGAGGAGAAGGCTCCCACGTGTCCATTGCAGCCCAGGCTCCTCCGACATCGAGCTGAGATCCGTTGCGGCACTACCAGGGCACACTCAGAGAGAGCAACTGCCTCAAGAGGCAGAAGAAGCATCCAGCCTCCACCCAAGAAGTTCTTGGCCCTGTCAGCTCTTACAAGTCTTCCCAGGCACTCAGCAATAACCTTCGCTCTCCCCAATTCCAACTTCCTCCTGTGCTCGACGGGGCTGGGAGCATCTTGTCCCACTCAAAGAGCTCCTTGACACAAGTGGGTCACCAACTCAATGGCTGTCCACAGGAGCTCCTGCCAGAGGTTCTCCCTCCCTTAACCCGAGCCACGGAGCATCTGATTTACCCCACAACCAGTCAAGCACCACAAGGCTGTGGGTTTTTTGGGGAACGAGCTTTGCTGACCCAGCACATAACTTTCCTCTGCATGAATCAGTTGTTGTGCAGTCTGCAAATACATCAATTGTGGCCTGACACAAGGAGGAAGGAAACGCGCAATCTTCTCTCAGACTAAAACATGGATTTCGACACAGTTCTGAAACAGCTGCAATTAAGATGCGTGCAACTCAGCAGCTCACCCTGACTCTCGCACAGTTGAGCATGGGAGAACAGAAATGACCTATAGCCACGAAGGTGCAAAAACCTCACAACTGAGTGCTCTGCACTGCGGCGGTCTGGAAGGAATCCCGCTTCTCGATCACTCCTAAAGGGAGCACTCCCCGTGGGGTGTCTGGAGCCGGGCAGGACAGGGACAGTGGTCAGCAGAGGCCTCAGCTCTGCTGGGAACCCTCCTCACGAGACTCCCCTCTGAAGCAGCTGACAACATCACACTCCCAAGGCCAGGCACAGAGGTCCCTCCCCAAAGGTCTTTGCCCCCCGTTCTGCTGAGGTGCATTTTCACCCTTGCCCAGCACACAGGAGAGATAAAAGAGCTGGCCTGAGCTCTGCTGCTGACATTCGCATGTTGTTTTTAAATAAAGAATATTTATGTCCAAGCACATCAACTGGGAACGGTCCATGTTTTTCGCTTCTGATCCTGTGGATCAGACCTAACACAAGTCCCGGTGGCCCTGAGGCGTATGGGCTGCAGCGACCGTCCACACAGGAATGCACACCAGTAACCGCGCAGCCCATGGCCCCAGCAGGCAACGCACCAAAACTGCTTGTCCACGCCACATCGGAAGCGAGGAGCTGCCCGGAGAGCAGTCAGCGTTGCCTCCTCCTGCTCCCAGCAAAACCCCCAGGAGCCGGAGCCCGAGGGGCGAGGGGGGGCTGTGCCCAAACCGCCACCCAGCGAGAAGCCCAGGCGGGCGGCCGCATGGCGTGCCCCACGGCACTGGGTACCGGGAGAGCCAACAACACGTGGCTCCTGAGGAAAAAAAGCTTGGAAAAGTTGCCGAATGTTTCGGTTCAAAAACGCCTCCA